TGGATGAGCAGCACAGCGAAACACGTTTTCGTGTGCTGCCTCTCCCGATTTGTTGCTTGCTCCAACACAGAAACCACCAAATCTGGGACCGCTGGAAAGGATCTTACGCATTTTCATTGCGGCCAAGCCAAGCAAGTTCCCGATGCTTGTCTGCGCAGGTCAAGCAGAGCAGGAGAGTATCTCAGAACATGCAGGGAGTCGGGGAAGCTAATTGTTCAGGACGGCTACCTTTCTGGCAGGAGAAACAGAGTCAACAGTCGACAGAGAGGAAGCAGCAGCTGGATCGGGAGACGGAAGGCAGGAGGAAGAAGCCGGAGGGTGAGTGAGAGACAGGCCTTTAGAAAGTAGTTTATTCTGCACAGAACAGAAACAGAGCAAATGGTGATTGTCCCCGGGCAGCGCGCAGCAATGTAGCCTCCACCGTGTAGCCCCATGCCTACACATTCAGGGAGGGAAAAGGAAATCCAGGGCTGGGTCTCAGGACGGAAGAGAAGCCTCTGTCTTGGGAGCCCAGCAGGACCGTCTGACTCCCGGATACACTGCATTCTGCTATAACCAACCTGGCTTCCTCATCACAGCAAAGTAGCGGGAGCAGACCCATCCTGTGTGTGTGTCTGTCTGTGACAGGATGCCACAGCGAACTCCCAGTGCTCTCACTCTGCAGCCTGGTGTGAAGGAGCCGCTGCCAACTTAGGAGAGGAGAACCCTGGGGCCACTATGGGGCAGATGGCCACAGCAAGCATCTCTACAGCCCCTGGGACCCAGAAACAAACTAGATGCAAAACTTCCTTCCCACGACAGTGACTCTGCCTGGTGGCAGAGGACATAGGTCTGGAGGAGACCAAAGGAAAGCAGCTCTCTGCAAGCAAGGGGGCCCCTGACACACACATGCCTGGCGGCATTGCATTAGCAACTCTTCCCTCTCCTTGCCACACACTCCCTCTTCTTTTCAGCAAGGTTCTAGGTCAGTACCTGGCATGGAGAGGGCTGTGCTTACCTCCCTGAGGCAAAGCCATTCTGCTTGCCTGATGCTGCCTTTTGGAAAAGCAGAGCACAGGTTAGAGCCTAGAGTTGGCTCATCATTCGGAATTTCGCCGGTCAGGACCATGGGGAGATTTCTCCATTGTGCCTCAATTTAAGCCACTGGGATGGGATGCCTGCAACTGACCAGCTTTCCTTCTTTGTATTTCCTCCTAGGAAGCTCAGCGCCTACTCAGGCCTGTCTAGGATCTAACAGCATATGTTTCTGCTCGTCACATTTTCCTTTGACCTGAGTCTACGTTGCTACCTTGGTCTTCCCTTTGTCATGACTGATCTAGTGTTTTTGCATCAGCTCATCCGTGTCTTTTTTAGACGCTAGCCTGAATTCCTTAGTGACCTGAAAATCAGTACCTTAGGTACTGATTTTCCTCCACCTGCCATCCTTGTTAGTGACACCCCATCTCGAGCCTCAACCAGACCCACCAGGTCAAAACCACCATGAGCCCAATCTCTTCCTCCTGCGAGAGGAGGAAGGGGGAGTAAATGAAGCTCCAGAGATGGACTCATGGCCACTTTGCCGGATGTGCAGCATCAAGCTTCCTGGGGGGCTCTGAAAGTCCCATGTTTACCTGCGGGAAATCCGCGTGTCCAAACATGGAAGCAAGGTGAGCCGCCTTCTCCTTAATGTTCTTTTTGTGAAATTCCCTGTTGGCCAAGTTCTGAGCCCTCTTCTGCAGGCAAGGTGAGAGAGGGGAAAGAGAAAGAGACAGTGACAGAGACGATGGTGGCTGCCTCCCGGAGAGTGGAGAGCGGCGGGATGAGACAGGAGACGGGGCGTGAACAGCACGAGAAGGAGCCCACCCAGTGCCGAGGGGACAGAGGAGGGAAGGAAGGCGCCCCAGACAGAGGCAGAGGAAGGGCCATGGGCAGGGCTTTCACCTGAAGAATCTTGTCCTCCACTTGCTGCAGCCGCCGCAGCACCCCAGAAAGAGCCAGCGCTCCCTGGCAGCTGGGAGGCAGGCCAGCGGGAGCTTCGGGCCCACCTAGCTGCAGGTCCGACTTGGCTCTGGCCCTCCAGGGCCTGTTTGGGCACCCGCCGCCAGCAGACACTTGGTTTAGTTCTCGGAGCACATGCCCCGTCACAACCACGGAGGGGAACTGGGAGAGAAGGAAAGTCAAGCTTCCTTCCCGACTGTGGCCCATTCATACACCCCCGCCATGAGCCCTCCCCACAAGGACCGGGGACCAAGGCATAGAAGAGGCCACTGGGAGTCGGATTCCCCGCTAACCTCAGGTACTGACTTTCCTTCACCTGCCATCCTCGTTAGCGACACCCCGTCTCGCCTCAACCCAGACCCACCAGATCAAAACCACCACGAGCCCAATCTCAGTTCTCGCTGCCCACAAAGTCACTTAGGGTGCTTAGAAAAAGCCACCTGAGCTTGGGCCCAACCCCCGGACAGTCTGGTTTAACTGGCCTGGGGGTGGGTAGCAGCTGGCAATACTCTTCAAAAAGCCCTCTAGGTGATTCCTCTGTGCACACAGGCCTAACATCACTGCCATGTATCCTCATTGACCCCGCCCAGCCTCCACCATGGGAGCAACACCAACCTCCTGCTGCAGGCAAGACATTTCTGAACACTGCACTCAAGAACAGGGATTCTGGGGCGCCTGGGTGGCTCAGTGGGTTAAGGCCTCTGCCTTCGGCTCAGGTCGTGATCCCAAGTTCCTGGGATCGAGCCCCGCGTCGGGCTCTCTGCTCTGCAGGGAGCCTGCTTCCCCCTCTCTCTCTGCCTGCCTCTCTGCCTACTTGTGATCTGTCTGTCAAATAAATAAAATCTTTAAAAAAAAAAAAAAGAAAAGAACAGGGATTCTGTTTAAACCCCAAACCCAGAGATGCAGGCTGGACAGAGCCTCTGGCCACGGTTGCCAGCGGCCTCCCTGGCCCCGGGGGGTGGGTCCTCATCTGCTTATCTGACCAGCACCAGGGGAGGTCTTCTCCACACCCCGGCCTTACCCTTTCAGTGGTGTGAAGCCAACTGGCCTCCCCCACCAAGGTTATCTCACCATCCCTGTCACTTGTCCATCTACTTAGAAATCTCCTATTCAATTGGCCTGTAAACAAAGCTAAGAGTCCTGGAGCATCCCCCCAAATACCCCAAATACCCCATAGATGTGGTCTGCTCCCCCCCTCCAAGCAGATAAAGCATCAGGAACACAGCAGCTGGGCAGACGACATTCAGGGCTGGCACGTATTTCCAGAAGCTGTAGACCTGGTTATTCTTACCTATATGGACTGTACCTCAAGTTCTGTCTGCCTTCCCAGAGAAGCTACCGTCAGCCCTACCTGGGGCACACAGAGAGACACTGACCCCACCCCTCTGGACCAAAGTCCCTCTGACTTCACCAAGACAGGGTCCACTGGAAGGAGCCCTACCTGCCTTTTCAGAGGAGGTGGTGGGCTGGGTGTGGGCTCCTCTGGCCTGGAGCAGCGAGGGTTAATAGGTGGGTCAGAGGAAGTGTGCAGGACAGGCTTACCTATCCCTGAGACACGGCATTCCTGGGAGGAGGAAGGTGAGTCCGACAAAGCAGCCACAGGAAACACAAAGGAAAAGGAGAGTCAGACACTTGGAGGCAGGAGAGGAAGAGAGGCAGGCAGAGAGAGTTTGCAAGTGCAAAGACAGCCCTGGGCTGAGCTCCCACGAGCCAGGCCCAGCAGGGAAACTTGAACCCTGGTTCTCTGTCCATGTGAACAGCAAGTCCTGGAGTCCCCTTCTCTTGAACAATGTGTAAATCCCAGGGAGGCCTCGCTCTTGGCTCAGACCTGGGCCACTGGGCCTGCACTGCCAGAGCCTATGCCGAGCCCAGGTGGCCAGCCCTGGTGTCCTCCTAGAAATGGCCAAATCTCCTGCACACGAGATGACAGGGACAGTACATTCCTTCCAATGGAAGAGAACCCTCGACTGACACTTGGGGACCTCTAAGGGCCAAACCTCTAGAAGGGGCAATTGAGGAAAATAATCACAAGTCTCAGGAAAATGGTCCCCTTTGAACAAAACTTGGCTTCTTGGGGAAGGCCAGTTTGTCCAGAGGGGCAGGGCCCACCGTCAAGACCAGGGAGACATTTATGATCGCCTGTAAGCCTGATTAATCTAGAGTCTGTCCTTCTCCTGAGAGGAGCCTAATTCTGTTGTACAACAGGTGTTCTCCAAAAAAGAACCAAACCCCATGTCCCAAGATTTTGTAATTTGATGATGGCATCCCAGAGCAATTCAGAGGAATGAACCATGCAGAACAGACCATGGAGTCAGAGTCTGAGAACAATCGGCTTGGTGTGCAGCCTGCCCCATGGTAGTCTGCCTCCTTCAGCCTCCCAGGTGCCCTGGTCTGACTCCACAGCCCTGCCGGCCTGACCCGAGGGAACATGGAGGAGGGGACGTCAGAGAACACTTGGCGGGGATTGGTTCCCATGGAGCTGAGAGCTATGACTTCGTTTCCCCTGGGGTGCACAGGTCTCCTCCCTCTGGACTTAGACTTCCAGGCAGCCAGTGTCTCTAAACCTCCCTTATGCTGTACTATCTCAAAGCTGGCTGCAAATCAGGTTGTGGTTACAAGGCAAAACCAAACTCTGGATTTCTTCTCCAGGGCAGAATAGGCATCAGCCAACTATGGTCCTCAGGCTGAAGCCGGCCTGCTGCCTGTTTCTGTAAATTAGTTTTGCTGGCGCACAGCTATGCAATTTGCTTCAGTACCGCCCATGGCCGCTTTCAGGCTACAATGGCAGAGACAGTAGCTGTAGAGAGATGGAAGGCTCCGAAGGCCTCAAACCTTTGCTCTGGCCTAAATGTGCTGTCTGGTCCCTCCTGGGACCGCTGATCCAGAAGGAGCCCCCATCTCACCTGAGCCAGGCCTGGCTGGCGTGCCTGAAATCCCCCACTAGGCCTGCACGTTTCTGCTGGCTTCTCAGCAGGTGCTGGTCGCCGGGAAGGCAGGTCCAGTGAGCATCTGACGGGACTCACCTGCCTCAGGAGCGAGGGGTTCCGAGAATTCTCTTCGAACTTGGCCAGCAGCTGACTTGCCATGGACTTGACTTTGTTCTGGCTTCCCACTTCTCTCCCGCTGCTGCCCTCTGGACTGGAGCGCAGGCCGCGGCTGGGATAGGCTGAAGGCTGCAAACGCCAAAGGAGCACATCGGTTATTGGATTCCAGAACCCAGATATCAGACAGCGGCCCGGGGACACAGGACACCAGACCAGTTTCCTGAAGAAGGACGCCAGGGTCCGAGGAAGCACGGCAGGAGCGGCTGGTGACACCCACTGAGATGATGTTCACATCTTCCCGAGGGACAGGCACACCCACCTGGGAGCCACACAAGGTCTGAAAACAGCCTCTTTCACCTCCCTGCCCAGGCACCTTGGCAATTTACTTCATTTCTCTGGAGCTCCCTCATCTGTAAAACGGGAGCCCGGCGCACTTCACCTGGTTGTTGCAGAGAGGGCCACATATAATAAGGAAGTGACCAGTAAAACCGTTTTCCAATTACCCTGTGTGGCAGCGAGAGGTGAAGAGTAGGGGGGATGAAGGAAGCAAGAGGGGGTGTCAGTCAGGCAAGGCACAGGCTTTGGGCTCCCTTCTCCCCTCTCCTCTGCGCCCCACTCCCAACGTCAACCAGCCCTGCTCTGTGGTCCCTATCTTTAAAAAAACCTTTTCATCTGCAAATAATGTCAGACCTACAGAAAAGTTACACAGACAGCACAGAGAGTTCCCGCATACCCTTTATCCAGAAGCACCCAATGTTAGCATCTAGAATAATCGTGGTACTGTTACCAAAATGAAGCAATGAACACCGGCACGGTTCTGTTAACGAAGCTAGAGACCTGATTTGGGCTACCTCAGCTTCCCAGCGATGTCCTTTGGGTTCAGGACACAAGCCCAGGTCCCACATGGCATTTAGCCACGTCTCCTCAATCTCCCTCCTCCGTAAGAGTTCCTCCATCTTTCTTTGCCTTTCATGACCTTGACAATTTTGAAGGACACTGGTCAGCTATTTTGTACAGAGTCCCTCAGGCTGGGTTGGTCTGATGTTTTCTCATGGTCAGACTAGGGTTATGGGTTCTGGAGAAGATGCCTCAAAGACCAGAACTGCTTGTGTCCCTGATACCAACGTGAGTGTTGACTGGTGAGGTGCTGGCTATGGTCACTTGGCTGTGCTGTTTTATAAAATGGAGTTCCATGAGAGCCTTCCTGAGCTCATCTGCTAAAACATAAAACTTGGAAAATTACCAGCGTTCGCTGGTTCAATGTCTGCTCTCCTTGCCGAAGGACCTGCTTCCACAGGCCTCAGCAGCAAATGCCACCATGGAATCAGGTAAGCCGTCCGCCTTCCCAGGGAGGCAGGGCCTCTCCCTCAAAGGAACAGATGTTCTCAAGACAACAGAGATATGTTCACTTAGAAAGGTCATGGGAAGAGGCAAGCTAAGGTCAATTGATTTTTTTTTTTTCTTAAAGATTCCCTAAGAGGACCAGCCCCAGGTGAAACCTTATATGCATAGCCACTTTGAAGTGTTGAATAAACACGGACCAAAGAGTCACTCTCCACTTCAAAGTGCAGAACGGAACTCTGCATATCGCTGTAGTCTTGAGTGGAAGACCGTAGGTTTAGTGGAGCGTCACTGTTGGCATAAGGCCAAAGTCGGCCAGGACAGTGGGTCATGCAGACTAGCACTGCTCAGATACAAATCACTGCAGGGTTCTTTGAAATGCAGATTCAGATGAGTCTGTAGTCTGGGGTGGGCCCTGACAGGCACCTCTAAGCAGCTGCTAGGTGAGGCTGATGCTGCTGGTTCCTGGCCCACACTTTGAGTAGCAAGAATTTGGAAAGAATACTGCTTAGTGAAGCCTGACTTTAGTACAATAGCTGATTCAGATCAGCCCAGAAACAACTCAGAAGGGCAGGTGCAACCAATTTCTTCCCACACTCTGACTTCTGGGCTGCCAGCAACAGAGAGAGCAAAAACACTCCCTCAAAGAAGCCACGGATGAAGGGCAGGAGCAGCTTTCCGCCTAAGACATCATGCATCACAGGGAAACTTCTAGGGAGGAGGCAGGGGCAAATCACAGGCACTTCAAGTAAGAGCCAACACCCCATAACCAGGAAAGTGGGAAGTTCCCCCCACCCTGTTCATCAGCTTCTGCTTCCTCCTTTCCACTATCTATTCAGGTTCACTAGGAATATTCACTAGGTTCCTGATCACACCAGCACCAAGAAATGGAGAAGCAACTGCTCTTGAAAGGATCAAGTTGTCTAGAACAGGATTGGACAAGCGTGATTTGAACCCATTGGATAAAATGTGTTTGTGCGCATTTTAAGACATGAACTGAACTCTAGGGCTCCATTATCAGAGTGCCCCCTTGTCCCTCCCAGAAAATGGGGTAAGCAACGGGCGGCTTCCCCCCACCCCCTAGACTGGGCCTTGTAGCTCCCTTTGTCATAAGAGTCACTGTTTTGAGAGCCCATGTCTGGAGAGAGATTAGGTGCTTTATTTTGACAAAGTAGCCTGTAATTTCTGGCTTTCACCAGAAGGTGGCACTTGTGGGCACCGGGACATTTGCCTTGAAGACCAGAGCAGAAAACAAAAGGCAGAAGTTATGGCTCAAGGAGCCATAACGAAGGGCTCCCGGTGCCTGGTTACTAGTCCCCCTGCTAATAGTGATGCTGTGTTGATTAGCACAGGTGCCAGACAGCATGCTCGGCACATTATATTCCCCTTCGTTTTTAGTCTTTAAAAATCCTGCAATAAGTTGCCTACATTTCCATTGTATCATCTGCCTTTCACAGACGTGAGGCACAGCCTGGGAGGCTCTGTTTCTCCAGCTGACAAAGCGAGGAAACAGTAGAGGGGGGACCAGAGCCCGAAGGTGTCTCCATCAAGCCAAGCTTGGAACCGAGTGGCTCACGAAAGAGGAAAGGGAAGGGCCAGCGCTGGGGCCACTGGCTGCCAGGCAACTAGCCTTTGCTTGAATGGACACTGTGGGCACGAACCTCATCCAGGTTGTTGAAGCCTTTCCGCCTCCGTTTGTTCATGTCGCTGTCTTCAGTCTGGGTGTCCACCTGCAGTGGTCAAGAAAGCGTCATGAGCTCAGGGTCTGCGAAGTCTGTGGTTCCACCAACTGCCCTGAGGCCCTAGGGCGGGCCTGGCACTAGCCCTGAGGATGCCACCCGCCTGCAAACAGCTGCTGGCCCAGGAGACACACGGACACAGGTCACCCTGTTCTGGGACAGATGCAGATTTCTGTTCAGAGGAGGGAGACTTACTGAACCGGTGTGTGCGTCAGAGGGGTGGGAATCACATCCCCCAAAATCATTCTGAAACATCCCAAAACATAAAGAATCCCTGTGACACGGGCGGGGCAGGGACCATCTCTGGGGTCAGTGTGACCCTGGGCTCTGAGCAGTCACAGACAGGCCTGCTGATGTCCCTTGGCATAGCATGCTGCCATAAGGACACCCCCTCCCTCCTGCAACCAGGTGCCAATGCTCACCCCACAGGCAGGGATTCTTGGGGCTCAGAGCAGCTATCTGGCTGCTCTGCATAATTTAATGGCAAATTATGCCCGCCATTTGGCCACCGTTGCAAATGCCAATAAACTGCATTTTATCAACTCAAGGGGACATGAGATAAGGTCTGAAAACTCTAGTGATCACACAGCTCTGTGTGCCCAGACCGTTTTGATTTATTGTTTCCCCAGCAAAATTATTTAGCGTGTCCGCTTTCATTCTCGAAAGTATCCTGGTTAGACAATAAATCACATGGATGCCTTACTCGTAAGACTTTCCAGCCCACTTTCTGCTGCCTGAATCTGAACACTGAAATCTGGAGAACCCCCACTCTGCACAAGGCCACTGCTGTGACCCTGCAAGGGCCACCAAAGGGCACACGCATTGTCAGTCTTATCTCCTATGGGGGGGTGAGTGGGCTGCACAGACAGAGTGAGGCTGTGGGCTGGGCTGGGAACTGGGGGCTGGACTCAGAGCCTCCTCTGTACCCTGCCAGGCGAGTCTATCCTGACCCTGGGTTAGACCTGTCTATCTACCCACATCTGGTATTTCTGCCACGAGTATCTCTGCTACAGACAGCTTGGCCTCAAGCACTTTTGCCACAAGCAGTTTTACCACGTAACTCATTGGGTATAAAGCAATTTTGCTGTAACAGATACAGAGATAATGGGCTGACAGTTCGATTTCATTGGCTGATGGACAGCCTGGCTTCATTTCTCCCCCCGCACAGTACTCTTGTTTTTATATTACATAAATCTTAGCCCTCATGATGGTCTATATGGTGGTGCAGAGTTTTGAACCCGCATTTCCCACAGAACTTTGGTAGGTCTTCTGCTGGACTCGTGACAAAAGGCCAAGCACAAACAACAGGGGGAACAGGTGCTCACAAGGCAACATAACGCTTAGTCACAAATATGCATCCTTGTATTTGGAAATGGATACACCCTCTTTTTTTTTTTTTTTTTTTAAGAGAGAGAGAGAGTAGGGGCATAAGGAGGGGAAGAGAGAATCTTAATAAGGCTCCACGCCTAGCCCGGAGCCCAAAGCAGGGCTTAATCTCAAGACTCTGAGATCATGATCTGAGCAGAAATCAGGAGTCAGATGCTTTAACGGACGGAGTGCCCCAGGCGCCCCGGGACACCTCTCTTAAGGAAGAACGTTTAGTGAAAAGAGAAAACGTGTAATGTCGAACATGGAGACGGATCAGTAAGCAAAGAACACATACCAGCATGAACGAAAGACCACGAAGACAAGTGCTTAGGTACGATCTGCGAAATGAAACCAGCTGTTCGCACGGTGTTGCCATGAATCCACACTACATGTTCTGAAGGAGTCAAATCTTTTGTATTTCACAACGAAGTCCTTTTAATTTTGTTATTTGTTTCTTGTGTTTCATTATGTCCTTTTTAATGAATGCCCATTTTTTGTTTCTTGTGCTTTTTCTCGTTTGCAGTACAGCTGCCTTACAGCTGATTAGTTACAAAGCAAAATGCTTGCAGCAAAGATGTTTACCGTGAGACGACCCAGACCCTGCGACCACCGGTCTCCAACAGGGGCCCTTCTCCATACAGCCAGCCCCCTGAGGGCCATGGAATCCCCACCCCCAAGGCTCCTACGCACTTGGGCCCTCCAGAGAAGGCCAGCTTACATCCCAGCCTTTGTTCCACTGGGCAGGCAGGGGGAAGGCCTGCTGGCCATTCTCTCCCCTCGAACCCAGTACGGCCCAATCTGCCTCACCTCTCCTGCCCTTGCTGCACCACGGGAAGGTTTTTTTTTTTACTTCTTGCCTATTCTGCTCTAAGAGCTCGGAGCCCCCAGCACACATGACTGTGTGCCCACTTGCTCCCAGCAGAAAGCACCTGCTTCCCCAGCTTCTGTAGTCCCATCACCCCTGCCCCCTCCCCACATTTAGCAGCACCTTTAATATTTTCAAAGACAAGATCTACCACAGTTTAGGCATTGATATTTGTTCAAAAATTTGACCCTTCCCTTGTTCAGGGAGCACAAAACAACAGATCAGAGGGCCCTGCCTTCCCTCTAACATTTTTCTCAGCTTCTAATAAATCATTATTCTGTGAATGGAAATGATTTCAACCCAAACGCTTGGGCAAACACCAAGAGAAACAAATGACTTTATTCATAACAATGTTGGGTCTTAGAGGCACAGGCCATCTGGGCCCCCAGTTCCACCGCCTATGAATGGCTTGCTGGCCGAGACAGGGGCCTGAAAAAGTACAGGGCGTCCTACCCAACAAGAACACTGCATGCGATAATCTTAGGGTTTTCTCTTGTTTTGTTGTTGTGTTGTTTCCACCTTAAATGAAGACTTGGCTTTTCTCTCGAAGAGCAACACCTCTTACTCTCTCTTTTGCATTCAGCAGCTCCAGGCTTGAAAGTTCCAACACCAGAGCCAAGGAGAACCAAACCCAGTAGGCTAGCCACAGGCTCACAAGAAATGCTTCTGGGAGGGAGTGTGCCCAGCACCTGAGAAGACCCCAGATCCTTCAGGGGAAATAAAAGAAGCCTGTGGGGCAACCTCCACTCCTCTGATTCATCCTGACCCATAGGACAACAAAACGCAGTCCATATGAAAAGGCTGGCAACACACATACCCTAACGGTCTGTACTTTTCCTTACGGATTTCTCATGGAAGCACTGATTCTCAACTAAAGAGCGAGGTTAAAACAGAAAGGTGGAGAAAACTCACACCTAGGGATTTACCTAGTATTTTCTTATCTGTATATCTCTATCTGCAAGCCAATGTCACCTCAGTACCCCCATCTCCTTGGACTCTATTTTGCTCTACAAAGAATGGGGTACAAGGAGGAAGAAAACACTTATGGTGCCCAGCCATACACAAACAGTTCACTTTCTTTTGCTATTAATTTTTTCCTGCCTTACCCCCAAGAACACTTTCTTACCATGATTTCCCAATGACCTGAAAGAGTCCATGCACCAGAGGGCATTGATTAAACTAATTGGTATCTCCACTTAAAAAAAAAAAATATGTATTTGCTATTCTGATTATTTATTTGATCGGTACAAGATAACCATGTCCCCCAAAAGCCCAACTCCATGTGATCTTAGTCCAAAGGAAACAACCTTTATATTTTACTAGCTAGTATAACCTAACTCTGGAGAAATTTAGATATGGGGCATAGGAAGAAAGATTGGCCATTGCAGGCAATGTCCTGGTTAAGTAGGGAGGCAGCAGGGATATTTAGGCCAATGATACTGGCAGGAAACTCTTCTCTCCTTCAGTAACAGACTAGTAAGGACTCATGAGTTTGAGTTCTGACATGACTTACTTCCCAGCTCTGTGACCTTAGGAAAATCACCTAACTTCTCCGACTGCCATTTCCTTGTCTATTATTTCCTTGCCTGGATATACTATCCAGCTCACAAAGTCCTGTACATAAAACACTTCTTATAAGGCACTGTATACCTCTTACGCACTGTTATTTAGATTAATACCAGTTAACAAATGAGAAAACCTGAATTCCAGGTCCACTTTGACTTTTACTACCTACAGGCAGGACATCGCGATTTAATGTCCCCACAGGCAAGACTCCCCTTCTCTAACACTGGGCTGAGAATACACTCCCCGTCTTCCTCCAGAGAGAACACAAGGAACAAATGAGATACATATGAGACTGCTTTGCACGCCATAAGGTGTCCCGCGATCATGGCTGCGGTGCTGAACTGAGGGTCTGGTCATGCTAGCTTGACTCATTTTCTCAGGAAACAGGCATCTGCCTTGTTTCAGTACTCCTAAGGGACAGCCTTCCCACTTGGCTGGGCAGGGGCTCTGAACCACAGCACACGTCTGTGCACCCGGTCTTCCCATGACGCAATTCCTGTGATGCAATGCAGGGCTGACCTGATCAGAATCAGTCCGCAGACAAGCAAAGGAACCTTCGGAGAGGTTCAAGCATGTGCCAAATCCCCGGAAGACCTAAATACGTGTTTGTCTGCCTGGCTTCTAACGTACTCTCTCACTCTGTGAGCCACTCAGAACACCTGGCTGTGTGGCACAGAGGACAGAAGAGTGACTGGCCTGCAAATCGTGGGGGCCCGAGGGGCAGCTCAAAGGCCCTGTGCTAGCTCAGCCCAGCTGCCCGGCACCTGTGCTTTTGGCCCTCTGGGACTTTCCCCAAGTCTCAGAGTTGAGAAGCACTAGAAACTTAGAGGAGAGCTCTGGCTGCTGGGTGGGGGTTCTGTGAGAGCAGCTGGGGAAGGGGAGAGGAATTGAGACATTCCCCCTAGAAGGGCAGCGTCCTTGGGCAGAGTCCTTGCTTGTCTTGTTCTTGGCTCTACCCCCAGCACCAGGAGTGCTGAGAAGAGAACCCAGCATCAAAGAGGCACCAGGTTGGTCTGGATGGAGGAAACGCTTCCTTACTTCACGGGCCTGGCTCTTTGGGAAGTGTCTGTGTGGGAGGGGTGAGGAGAGGAGAGCTGGGCTGGCACCCTAACTGCTGGGACCAGACACCCACACCAGCCAGGCTCTGTGAACTCCACTGTCCTGGGAACAGTGCTGGAGGGGAGACTATGTCACCATCGGCCGGCTGAGAGGATAAACACCCTGCGGCCACCACCCTGGCCTCTGGGATGAGCTTTTCATGAACAAGTGACACCTCTGTGTTATGTTGTCTCGAAAGGAGTGGGCTCCGAATGGGGAAACCGACATCAAGTGTCCTGAGTGTGTACATACTCTCACATGTGTGATGACTGCAATGGCCCTAAGTTCAGGCATGACCCACATGCCGTAGGCCTAGGAGGGGACATGCGGGAGGGTGGGTATGCTCAGATACCGCCTGAGGTCCATGGTAACAGGAGATCCGGAGTCCCCAGCAATTTTCCCAGGTCCCAGGCTTTTGTGCGGGTGCATTTAGGATCAGAGATAGATCTTCAGGAACGAACCAAGGGCTTCTGAAGGGAAACATGGAATCCCCAAGCTCTCCCTTCGCCAGGCCTGGCCCTGCGACATTTGCAGCTCACCCATCGACCTCAGAGGTTTGCCACTCACCGGAGGGACAACTCTCTGGGCAGATCGATGGGAAAGTTACATTTTCTGAAAATAAATAAGGCCCTCGGTAGAGGAGAAGTCTTCTCTCTTGCCTGAAGCTGATCGGTTTTCTTGGGATTTGGATGCTATCTGGGGTTAGGGATGAGACAATGATTTGACACCAACCGTGAAAACCAGGAAGAGGAAGAGATTTTTAAGGCTGGCTCAGTAAAGAAAAACAGACCCTCTCCAGATCAAGATGACGTATTGTGAACAAACATGGGCTGTTCAATTCCTGCATCGAGACGCTCCTCTGAGAGTTTAGGAGGACATAGGGAGGGTCGGAGAGGGCTGAGGAAAGGGGGATGAGGTTGGAAGCAGACCCATCTGTGTGTCCTGATGGTATGTGTGTGTGCTAGCGCGCACGCACTCATGGGGCCATGGGCGGGCCTGCGTCTCTGGTCTATCAGGGCACATGGACAAGGGTGCGGGGGGCTGTGTGCCTAACTGCATGGCCATGTTCTGGGTATAACCATAGTGGAGCCTCGATGTGCGTGCAGTTTTTGTAGTGTCCCAGGCAGACATCCTCCATGCCCATCCTGGGGGATGCTGCTGTGGACTTAGTTCTCTCTGCTTGTGAGACATGTCAAGACCAAAGAGCATCGCAAATAGGTTCCCCAAACCAAAAAGTATCCAGATACAGGAAGACCCACAGTCGATGGGGAGGAGGTACTCCGTGTGTGCGGTCTGATCAGTGCACGGACACTGAGTGGTCGACAGTGTCTGGGGTACTGCGGTGATGACTATGGCAGAATGTGATCCAGGGGCCTTTCTAACTCGCCAGCCCACTCAGAGGAAGCATTCAATCAAAAATCATGCCCACCCCAGCACTTACTTTAATGACCTAATCTTTCTACCTATCCAACAGCAGGGCAAATCTGAGACATAAATGAAGCTGTGGAGGGGGACTGGACCCCTCTCAGGATGGGCAGACCCTGGGCAGCCCTTCAGGGGCAAATGGACATGGTTGAACCTCGGCCAGGGCTGGGCCAGACAGAGCCTGCCCATGCCCTCTGCATTTTCTAGCAGAGCCAGTGGGAAGTGGGGTGAGCACCTCTCAGGCCTCCGAGGGGCTGGCTGGCCTTGCTGACCATTCCCCATGTGACCCAGGGCTGGCCAGGCTGTTAGAATTCCGTCATTCTGTAAACAGAGGTGTGGCGAGTGAAAGGTTTCAACATTCCTCTCCAGTTCCCCCTGCTGCTTCCAGTTGTGGGCTAAGTGGTGGAGAAAGCAGGTGGATGGAGAGAGGCCTTCAGTGTTGGGCTCACACAGTTCCCAGAAAGGCTGCCCTGGCTTGCTTGGTTGGGGAAGCCTGAAGTGGGGAGGCTTAGAGGGAATGAACCTATGACCAGTATCCAGAAGACGACTTTCACTCAATGGGACATGTGGTAGGCCACACAGCCCTCACACAGAGCCTCTGAACGGGGCAGCCTGGGGAGCAGGGGCCACAGAGCCGCCAGGGGCAGTTCGGCCCTTTGGCTGCTCTGCTGGAAACCCCAGCGGACCGGCACACCTTCCCTCCCCAGCCCTGGCCTTGCTAGCCCATTCCCTCCTATAGATAGGGCGTGCCGGCTCCTGGAGTTAGCCCAAAGGCTACAACGTTGCAGGGAGTACAGACCTCAGTGGAAAAAGTGACCACTGCTCCCAGAGCCAAGGCAAAGAGAGGAGACTACGTGGCCCCAGCCCCACCCTGGGTGGAGGGGCGGGCAGGACCAGGCATGACTGACCACAAGTAGGAGCCTGTCGGCAACCTAGAAAGTCAGACACACACAGAGGTCTGCAGCCCTCTGGGGCCCCGTGGAGAGAGGCAAGCTTTGTAGGAGCACTTGCCACCTAACATCTCTGGTCCTTCGTTTTTGGATGTATAAAATGAACACATCACATAAAGTAACTTGTATCATACCTACCACAGACATACCATCATTCAAATGAAATTATAAAATCACTAGCCTCATGGTTCCCAAACTGTGTTCCAAGGCACCCCATGGCCCCACCATGAGCTTGTGGAGGAACCATAGGATGCTTTAAATTTTCTAGGGAAACGTGGTGAAGTCTGTTATACATCTTGTAAAATACCTGTACCAAGTCATTTGGACTTAACTACTTAGTAAACAGAACTTTCTTTCAATCTAGGGGCACTGCGATAAAAATCACTGAGACACTAAGGGTGCCGTTAAGAAAGTTCTGGAACCTCTTTCAGCTCTGAGCTCCTCAAAGGTGTGCCTTATTTACCTCTGTGTATTTGCTACTCTCATAAAAAACAAACAAAAAATGGGTGATCGGGTGGCTCAGTCAGTTAAGCATCCGATTGTTGATTTTGGCTCAGGTCATAATCTCCGGGTGGTAAGATCAAGCCCCGCGTCGGGTTCCATACTCAGCGTGGAGCCTGCTTGGCATTTTCTCTCTCCTTCCCTCTATCCCTCCTCTCCTGCTATCTCTCTTAAAAAAAAAAAATTAGAAAAACAAACCAAAATATTCAGCCCTAAAGTTGGCAACATTTGTGGAAGGAAGGAGAGAGGGACGGAAGGAGGAAGAGCAGGAAGAAGGAAGGAAATTAACAGATCAGAATGTATAAATGTAGCCTTACCATATACTCTGTCACCGACAGGTGTGGTATAACTGATCAAAATTGCTGAATAAGTGAGAGATCGTCTCCCCTTCGTCTTAGGGAAGAGATTGTCTCCCCTTCCTCTTAGGGAAGAGATCGTCTCCCCTTCCTCTTAGGAGGCAGGACTCATCTGATTTACTTAAAAAAATACTCAGCTGCATGACCTCTCAGATCTGAGCCATGCCCCTCCTAGAACCAGTGTATGTCACTGAAGCCAGCGACACGGTGCCAGGGGGACTTCCAACAGCACAGGGTCACTAAACCGCGCCTTACTCATATCTCCCATGGGCTCTCGATCTGTGTCCTTTATCAGCATTAACAGACTGAGCACATGACCTTCTCCCTTCCCCTGGCCCCATCCATGGGCAAAGAGAAATCCAACAAAAACCAGGCCGAAACTTACCCGTGGCGTCCTCTTTCTCGGAAATGTGAGGTTGAGATAGTTATGAGAAATGGAGGATTTGGCCAAACTGAGGTCAGCATTTTCTCCATAGTTTTTGCCCCAAGAATCTGTTAGGAAATAAAAATGGGACGGCGATCAGACCCTGCCACCACTACCCCAGGGCTCAGGGGGTGTCACTGCTACAAGATCCCTCCAAGTAATTCCCTCACCCTCAAGGTTGGGTAGGAGGCTGATGCAGCTCTCAACAGTGACCTCCCAGTCACAGGGGCAGACCTTCGGCCTCATGTGGCCCCTGCCCCACATGCCCACTCACACACACAGGCCTGGGTGAGTGGAGGCCACCCCGGTTTGGCCTCCAAGTGAGAGGGAAGGCAGGGGCCGGCCTGAGAACATTAGACACAGGTGTGGAGAGCAGCCAGACATGGGCACAGGGTGGAGATGGCCCAAGGGCACAGCAAAGCCTGCCCCACAGAAGGGCCTTACCCACAGGCCTCAGCGGGGTGGCCTGGAAGAGCTCGTAGAACTTGGAGAGGTACATGACCATGCTGAGCTTGTCGGGCTCCTGGGCTGACGCCATCTCCTTGCCCGTGGTCACCGGGGGTATGCCAAACTCACGCTCGGCCACGTCAAATGCCAGCTGGTTGTTCTCCACAGCGTCATCTTCGTTCAGAGAGTCAAAGTTGCTGGAGAATCAAAACGAGGTAAAGTTCAGGCACAGGAGACAGAAGTGTGAAGAGCTGAACCAACTTCCTGGTAAGAAACCCTGTGGGCAATGTTCTGCTGGATCTCAGCAGGTGGGGAGGGGTGAAGGGGCTGTGACCCCAAATCCCCCCAGATCTCCCCAAATCTCTGTGACCTCCCCACCCCCTGCTGCCCTCCCTGCACTACCCCTCTGCTCCCCCCACCCACAACTGCCCAGGGAGGCTCCTTCTCACTTGGGGTGGGGACCAAATCAGACTTAGGCCATGTCAATGTCTTTGCTGCCTGGGCTGAAATAATCAGAAAATAATTTATGTCTTTGGAAAACTTATCAGCGATTTTACTTTTACATAGTTCCTTTATGTGCTTGTGCTTTTAATTATAAAAGTATATGGATATCTTGTATAAAAAAAAAGAATCAAGAGATCTACAACATACAAAGTAACAAGCGAGCACCCCATCCCCTTCTCGAGGCAGCCTCACCCCTAAAGGTGCCAACTGACAACCCTCCGGTGAGTTTCCTTTCAGCCTTCTGCGTGAACGTGCTCGTGGCTGTGGTTACTCTGCAGCTGGTCTGAATCCAACATTAATACATGTATGGGGCCTTCAACATCATAAAGTGTGCCCGATCTTCCTATCGACGCTGCCATCATTCCCAATTTACAAAGAAACAAATTCAGAGAAGCTAAGTGACCTGCCCGTTCCACACAGCTAACTGGTCTGCATCTCAGAACTAATTCCCTTGGCTGTAAAATCCTCAAACTGGTCCCCAGAATGAGGTCTTGCCCGTAATTTCTCTCTGATGGGGAGAGTGCCAGGTGTGAATGCTCGATTTCCCCAGCGCAGTGATGGCGGGGATGTGGGGACAAGTGTGAGCATGGAGCCGGGGCTGCTTCTGTTCCTGGTGTGTTCGGAACACAGGTCAACTGCTGACAGTGATCAGTGCAAACAGAAAAGAACAAACAAGAAAAACTCAATCCAAAGATGTATTTTGAGCCAAGATTCTGCCTCCAGCAGAACCCCTGATTGCCCTTGTCTCCAGGGTCCTCCCGGGCCATGGAGGGCTCAGTAGGTACAGCCTGCACCCCCGACTCACATCAGCTCAGGCCGGAAGCGGTGGATGATGGCACACAGGGCCAGGCCACTGCGCCAGGATGTGGTCAGGTCAGTGACCTCGACGTGCTGGTAACCCTCAGTTTGCTGCTGGCACCAGGTTAAGAGCTTGCTGGGCCGGATGTCTAGCTCTGCAGCAGGGGGAGACAGACAGTGGTGGAGAGAGTCCTGGAGCAGATGCGTCAGAGCTGCTTCTTGAGGAACGTCGAGGGATTCATCAGACAGAAGGCGGCACTCCAGGAAAACAGAAAAGGGCCGTGCCATGGGAAAAATCTAGAAAGGCCTGGAAGGCTGTGCACAACAGAGGCGGCAGCGGTGGTTCATGTGGGAGGGGAAGGGAGGGTAGGCTGAGAAGGCTGGGTACCCAGCGGTGGGGAGGAGCCGGTGTCTGGGCAGGCAACAGAAGCCAGAAAGGCCTCTCAGCAGGATGGTGACCCGAGCAAGGCCAGACCGATGTTGGAGAGTCATTCATTTAACCATCCCTTCCCTCCACTAGGAAAAGAGTGCAGCACATGCAGCCTGTTATCTGGCGGGGGAGACAAGATCTCCATACTGGAAACAACAGGGAAGGAAAAGCAAGGCCCAGTGAATCAATTCCACAGTTCACTTTCATGTCCTAAGTGCTTGACACATATTCACGCCTTTACAACCAACCTGCGGTTGGGGTTGTCCTTGTTCCGGTTTTACAGATGAGGAAACGGAAGGACAGAGGAGAAGTGCCTGGCCAAGGTCACATGGGTCATAGCGGCAGAGCCGAGTGGGCTGCCGGGCCTGGGCCCCCAAAGCCACCCAGCAGGCCTGGTCCCTGCAAAGCGTTCCCCAACCCTATACCCCTGCAAGCTGGCCGAGGACCCCGGGCGGTGGCTTACCCCTCCTGGAGAGACTCATGGATCTCCTCACCGAGCTCAGCCTCTCGAGAGCGCATGGGTGCAGCTCCTTAGTGATATACAAATGCTTCACCTACAAGCCAAAGAGACCACACAGCTGCCCACCAGTATCTCCCCAAAGCTGGTCTCGGGGCCAGCCCTGCCTCGACTCTGCGTCTACCACCCCTCTGTCGCTGGAGGGCATGACTTCGGGCAAGAGGTCCTGGGGAACATGAGATGCTAAGCAACAGATCTCAGCTGTCCACCCAAACGCGGGGGTACTCAAGTGTAAAAATACGTGATTGGCTGATTTTACAAACATCACACCGTTCTTTGCGCTGTTGCCCGAAGTTGGTGGCTGCGGGTTCCTGAGTCAACGGGAGGAAATGGGACTGCAGGACGGGGAACTGAAAGGACCTGACAGTTGGCAGAGCAGACTCTGCAGAGAGGCGTGATTAGCAACCCCTACTCATGGTGACAGGAAACACGTCAGCGTGTGCACAGATGAGGACAGATGCTGCCTGTATTCAAGTTCTTTCCTGCAGGCTAGAGAGATGCTGACTCTCTTGTCTCTCGTGGCTCTCCTAGAGAGAGGAACTGGTCCCACAGCTGAGCCAGGAGTTAGTGGCAGCCTCAGCCCTAGGGATGGGGCCAGATTTTCCATGGCCTCCCAACCACCGGTCAGGGCAGGGTGACCCAGACGGGGCCCAGGGGAGGACTTACCTGATGGGGCCGGACACAGCTGGAGTTAAGATTTGGGTACCGTGTCCCTGGGTCCAGTGTGTACTGCTCAAAGTTCTTGTTGATGTTCTCCGGAGTGGTCTGAGGTAACAGCCGGTAAAGACTCTCTCTAGGATGAGGCAGAGCCTGGGGGTCAGGGACTGCTCTGGCAGCCGCATGCCTTCATCCCCCCAAACTCCTTCCCCCACTCTTAAAGGTTTAGATGTGTTTGTGTACTTCTTCCCTGCAATGCCTGGCCCCCGTGGTTCCTGAGACTCACAAAGTGGGGGACAGTCGAAGGACTAGGGAGAGAGGGTGGGACGGGGTCCAGCAGCAGTGATGTTGGCCTCCTTCCCCAAGCAGAGGGCAGGGACACCAGAGCTGGCAGCCGAGGGACCTGTGGTTTTGCTAGAACCTCCATTCAGCCATGCTGCCTCCTGTGGCCTCCTGTCCCCTGTGACCACAGGCCTCCACACCCAAGACCTGCAGAGGCCAGTCCCCCTCCCCCGCCCCACCTGCCAGTCTTGATGTCTTCCAGTCCACCAGCTGTTACAGCCACGTGGCCAGCAGCAGGGGTCTGGGAGGGAGCCCAAGGTCTCAGCAACAGCAGAAGAGGCCTGAGAGATCAGAAGCCCAGGCAGCTGAGACTTCCCCTCAACCTCTTCCATCTCACAGCGACCTGGCTATGCTGGGAACCCCAACTTTGGGAACACTCCAGATCAGGATTTCTCTTTTGCATTCAGGTCCTAAGGTCCTGGCTCCAAGAGAAGTCACTGGAGGAGGTAGAACCTAACACAGAAAGTCTCCCTGGGATCCCGATGATCAAATCAGGCCACATGTGAGAAGGACATGAAAGAGCACAGAGGCTTCAGGTTCATCCAGGAGCCGCCTGATGGCCAGCCCTGCTCCTTTCCTGTCCAAGCTGTGGAACCAGCACGCCCTGCCCCTACCCACCCCCAGGCCCAGCTGGAAGCCGGGCAGCGGTACTCACCTTTCAGCAAGCAGCTCCAGGGGAGGGGTGCCCTGATCCCAGTTTTTCACCATCCAGGCTGTGTCAAAGGCTGCCAGGAAGCCCCGGGCACAACCTGTGCCCATGGGCCAAAATGGCTAGAGAAGAAAACATGCAAAACTCCAGTGGGTTCTCATGCCTCCCACCCCACCCCCCAGGCTGCTATCCCATTCTCTCCAGCACTCAGTGCTTGCCCAGCCCGTGGGAGGCACGGAAGGGAATGCGGGGCGACAGGACAGCCCCCTAGGTTTCAGTACGAACACGTTCAGCTATAGCAGCAAGTCACACATAAAAGGGGCTGTGTCCCAGGAATGGAAAAACTGCTGCGGAGCGGGGGGGGGGGGGAGGCTCAAACAAGGCACAGACAAATGCCCCCTCAACCCAGGGAGATGGAAATCGGGAAGGCTTCACAAAAGAGTTGCATTTATGCTGATTTTAAAGAACGGGTAGGCTTCTAATCTTGATCTATTCAAGAGCAGCAGCATGGGCAAAGGCCTGGTGGAGGAATGGAGCAGAGTAACAGGAGGGAATGCTGAGAAGGAAGACGGTGGGGTTGGGGGGGTGCCGATCACAGCCCACACACCATGGTAAATGAGGGCTGGTCCGCCAAGCTAAGTTCTGACTTAACTGTCCCCTGGGCACCCAAAGCATGGTTTGGAATTTGACTCTTACTTGGGATAAATAAACATTTTTTGGTTACTGCTTACTTTAAAGATAAAAATGTAACCCTGCTGAAAAAGTTGGTTCAAGCTAAGGATGCTTATAGTTGCCGATGCTCTGGGCAGCATTCTGAGCTGGAGGCCATGGAGGGAAACCGGACTTTGGGGCCCACATGTCTTTTTGTCCCCTCCATGATCTCCCTGTTGCAAGGCCCCAGAGATCTCCCCTTGCGAGGAATAAGTTGTGGCCCAGCTGAGGGGGTACATGTTCTGAAGAGACCTGCCCATGCAGGCCAGAGCAGGGCTGACTAGTTTCCTACTTTGACAAAGAGGCCAGCGTGAAGAGCCCAGAAGTGCGGAGAAGAAGACACCATGAGCTCCTCTGGGTCTGGTGAAAGGGCAGGCCAGGTACAAGCTGGAGGCCAGGACGGGCCTGGCCAAGTCCGGCCCACTGGCAGGGAACCCGTCCTTCCCCTGGTTGTGGGAGAGCAGATGCCACTGGCCACACCAGAAATGCAGGGATCTGTCTTCTACCGGGAACAGGGGGGTTCCAAACACAGATGCTACCTCAAGTAAGCTGTCGCCCACCAGGGCCACGAGGAGCTGGTGGGACTGGCGCTCGCGCACCAAGGCCGCGTTCTCTGAGGCGTACATGGAGGTGAAGTCAAACATGGCCACGTCAGGCTGCCCGTAGTGGTTCAGAGCGAAGTCTAGCGATGGCAACTGGTAATTGGTGGCGAAATCTGCGGCCTCACGGGCGTAGGAAAGCAGGTTGTCCTGGTTCACGTTCTCTGCGCACAGCAGCATCTCTGTGTCAATGTAGTCCTGGGGAGAGAACGAGATTGCAGTGTGGGAATCCACCCCCGTAACGGGCAAGCGTTCACACCCACATCTTTGCAAAAGAACTTGGAATGGTTTTGTACAGCAAAGCTAAGCAAAACAGAAACTCAGGGCCAAAGGAATCAAGAGGAACGAAGTCAGTCATCTGTCAGGGTTGACAGAGCTGTGATTACGCCTCACACTTGGCTTTGAGCTTCCTGGCATCCAAGGCAAAAGGGAAATGTGATCTATGGCAGCGCTTTCCTTATCAGAAAGAAGGAAGCATAGACATTCCTAGGGGAGGAAATTTTTTTCCTGGCACTAAATTCTAAAAGAACTATCTCACGTCGGAATTTTGATAGAGAACATAGTGTCGTAATAACCAGCTTACTCAATAATGGACTTGTGGTAAATACAGAAGTATATTTTACATGGCTGGTTCTTGCGATAACTTTCAGTACAATTAAAAGATGAGAGAGCAAATAAGAAATAATGATTTCATAGCAGACTAAGCTAAGCTGATATGATCCAGACATGCTACATTTGGTGGTCAAACAAGACCAGAAAAGGCATGAATGCTTGACAGAGCTCTCACACCTTCCCTCCAGAATCAGCTCTCTCTTTTCTTGAGAGGCTAGGGCCGCTCAGGGCTCTGCTTTGCTCTTAAAATGTAAACTGTCACACTCCCTGCTAGAAGGAGGAGGGCCCTGGCTTAGAGGGGGCAGGAGATCCATTCCTGACAGATGCTGGCAGTGACCTGCAAGACATCCCCCAGAGTCTAATCTGCTCATCATATGACTAAGAAACTAGAAGGCTTTCCTCCCAAAAGGTGACACAGAAAGTGCAGATCCCAAGGCGGGGCAGGGGCGTGGGCGGGAACCAGTATGTAAGACTAACACAGGCCTCGGGGTTATCCAGAGCCCGAGGTCAGATTCCACCTTTGCTTTTCACTGAGCAAATGTGGGCAAATTACTGAACTTCTCTGGGTTTCCATTTTCTCATTTCTCATTCTGGGAATAACAAAATCTACTTCACACAGTGTGGACCGAAGGAAATCATAGACATAAAATCCCCAACCTGACGCCTGGCACATGGTAAGTGCTCAGTGAATGGGAATTTCTGTCCCCTATAATTCATCATGGCACAAAACATAAACGTATGGTGAAGTATGCTCCTGGACCATTCCTCAACCACACACTGACAAGAGCATTTAGAAGGCACAGCCACGTCAAGAAATACAGTGACCCACTGTGTCAGTTTTCCTAATAACCACGATTTCAAATACCTTGTTCCAGAAATTTTAACACGCTCACACCAAACTACGTCACCCAGATCGTACCCAGCACTGGCCTGGGAGCCCTGTGTCAGGTTGTGGCATTCAGGCTGGAGGTCTCGCGGTTCACGTGTCCTTTCTCACACCTGTTCCTACAGTCACATGACCAATCCCCTCCCTTAAAGGTGTGGAGAGGAGACGGGGATGGAAAGGTCTTGAAAATATCCCTCTTCAGAGCATGCTGTCGGTAGGCGGGCTGACCAGTGAGTGTGAGCACTGCACAGTGAAGGTCGCTCGTGCTGGTGGCCCGGAGAGGAGCATGTGTTGGCCTGGGAGCCCACCTGGGCCAGGACTGCTGGGTGGAGCCACGGGACCTTGTTGGGCAGGAAGTTCCAGGAGAGTGGATGGATACAGGAGCAGGACCACGGGGAGGGGGTAAGAACTAGTACAAGGGAGAGAAAGGTGGGGATGGGGCCCTATGGAAAGTGGGCAGGCCTGGAGAAGGCGTTTTAAATTAAGACAGAGGCAGGAGAATGAGGGTGGGTCCCATTTTCCACAGGCACAGGTACGGAAGAGAGGCTGTGTCCTAGGCAGAGAGGAGGGCCAGTAGAGGGAGAAGCATCAAGAATGGCCCAGGTGGGGAATCTGACAGAACAGTCGCCCCACATACTAAGCTGAAAAGAATGCTGGAGACCAGAAGAGGTCAGGCAATGGCTTCCAACGAGAGTGGGTTCAGCATTTGGAGACCAGCTCTGATGTGTGCTCACCTTGCCCATTGGCAACAGCGCTCCCTCACACAGTGGCAAGAACAAGCCTGCTGCATCCGGGAGCCCTAGCCTGTATGTATACAGCCCAGCAGAGGCAGGGCCCGGCAATGGTCCACCCTCGTCATGACAGAGAGCAAGAAGGACAGAGCTGGGAGCCCGGAGACATGGTTTCCTGAGGAGAAACTTCACTCTCCCTTCAGGAGCCATGGGAAGCCCAGAGATCAGCAGGAATAGATGGGGAAGCAGGTCAGTCAGTCGATACACATTTACTCAGCACCTCTGTGTGCCTCTAGGAAGATGCTGACCCGTGCAGGGAGAGAAAGTGAGAGAGGACTTGCCATTCCTCTGGGAGCATGACAAGAATGTTAATTTGAGTGGCTCAGGGTAGATGGACCAGCTCCCAGCTATGCAAATGCCACAGAGCTTGGCTGGACACGGGGAGACTCAAGGCCAGAGCTCCTGAACCAAATGGCCATCCAGCTTTCTCATGTCCGGCCTGGGGCCTGTAATTTCTAGCCAAGAATTCCTGTCTTATACCTAGGGGGCCCCGCAGCACCGGCTTGGAAGATGCCCCCGGAGTCTGTGAGGAGAAGAGAAGCCTTGGTGAGGACACCCACGAGCCTGGGATCTGCTCCCAGGTCCTCCACAGTCATGATGGGTTCACACTGAGTCATGCTGGCCCACCTGTGCCGTGACGGAGAGAGGGGAGTATGAAGGGGCTACAACAACTGCCAAAGAGTTGAGTCACTGTGAGCAACGTGTCGTGGTCTGGACAAATGCCCCGGGATGCCCTGAGGGAACCTTAGTATCCCAGAGGCTGGAGTACTCAGCCAGTGAAATAGGAAACCCATGTCAAACTCTGCCTGACGCCCTAAGGTTGGCGTGGGAGGCCAACAAAGGCCTCCTCTGTCCCTCCTTTGCAGAGATGCCCACCATGCTTATAGCCTTGGACACCAAACAGTCCTTCACTATCTGCCACAGGCCTCCCGATGGACAAAGCAACTTTGGGAGGGATGCTGGTGGAGCAGAGGGAAGAAGGGGACCCCACCTCACCTCCCCCAGACCGGGTCAGCCAGGGAGTACCAGACGTTGAAACCCATCACTCACACATCTACTAGCTGTGCCCAGTCAGCCTCCTGCACCCCCCGTCCCACCATTCACAGCCTCCTGTCTGCAACTCAGGCTCTCAGCAAGGAGGCGGCCCAGGGGATGGCTGGGTTACTCATGGCACCCGGCCGGCAGCCAGCACAACGTGGCAAGAGGACAATCTTCTCCGACAAGCAACAGTGAATGGTCACCATGCTGCCCAGGCTGCTGGCTGACACCCGTAGAGCAGGCTGACTTCAGAGGGCAGGATCCTTATCTTGAGGCACCAGGCAGCAGCTGGGGCAGGAACAGAGGCTCTGGAAGGGTTATAAACCTGCCCAAAGAAGCTTCCAGTTCAGGGCCCCCAACTCCAAGTGCTTTCTTCCAACCCGGTGCTCTTTTGAAGATGCAAAGGCAGGACACAGAGGCCAGGAAGCCAGCAGGACAAAAAAGTAGGTGTCCAAACCAGACAGAAGTTACACAGGGAATCCATAACTCCCCCTAGATGGGCTGGGCACTGGGACAGCTACTCTGTACATTCTCTCATTTACTCTTGCAAACAACCCTTTCAGACAGAAACCATTATTCCGAGTCTCCAGAGAAGGAGGCTGAAGTTCAGAAAACTGAGCAGCTTAGTCACAGTCCCGAGTTAATCCGCCACAGAGCCAAGATTCAAGTGGAGCCTTTCTGACCGCGAGAAGAGACAGCTCCCCGCCACCCCCATGACAAGAGGGCCACCAAGGGAAATTCACAAGCACATGCATTCTCAGTGCCCCAGTAGGACAAGGAGCCCCCATTGGACTCCAAATGACATTGCACCTCTCTGAAACAGGGGCAGGGTTGAATGAGACATGGGGAAGGAAAAGATCCCACCGATCTCTTGGGGGCAGAGGCTTACACAAACGCCTGGGTGCGGGTCTCAGTCCAGCCCAGGCTCTCTGCAGAAACACATCTGCCCATAGTGCTGTGGGCTCCTTCGTCCAACGCGCACACAACAGCACGGAGGAGGAGAGCGGTGAGCGGTGGTTCCTTCCCACCTCCCCACCCCTTGCTCTTGCACATGCTGGGTCGCAAAGGGAAAGAAAGGACATGGCAGCCAAGAGATACGTACATTAACGATGACCCCTTTGTCAAGCAGGCTCTGCTTCTTGGCAGTCATGACAAAATAGTGGGTGCAGTCCTTATAGTAAACAATGTTCTCAAGATCAATCCCTGTGAAGAGAAGCGTGCATGGACTCAGTATGACTCCCGCAGGGCCTCGCCCCAGCACAGGTGTCATTACTTACCTGCCTGTATTTACGTTAGGCAAGTTTTTAAAACATACAAGCCTGGATAAGATAACACTGGGGGCTAGAATTTACCCATCTCCACACAGCTAGCTTTTAGCGTACCACTAAGACACTGTCTTGGGGTTGTTGTTTTTTTAAGATTTATTTTAGAGAGAGGGAGAGAGAGAGAGCACGTGCGCATGGGAGCAGGGGGAGGGGCAAAGGGAGAGAGGTAATCCTCAGGTTGAGTCCTCTGTGAGCTAGGAGTCTGACACGGGGCTTGATCCCAGGACCCTGAGATCAGGGTCCAGACTCTACAGTCGGCTGTTTCACCAAATGAGCCACCCAGGTATTCCAAAGACACTATATGTTTTTTTTTTTTTTTAATTTGCATATCTCTTTATTTCAGTTTTAACAACAAATATGTGCTACATTACTTATATTATAAAAATAATATGGATGAAGAAAAAGAGAGAGAAGTCAGTCAGAATCCTTTCTATTCTAACTCCCTGGGATTTCTTTAGACAGTTCTACCTCAGCGATATAGGAGGTAGCGTGTAACAAATGTTTGTGTAGTAGTTTAGACATATCAGTGCACTGCATCAAAATAGTCTGAAAGTTCAGATTCATTGTTCTGACATTTAATGATCATCATTTCTCTTTGGAGTTTAAATACTATATATAGACATAAAATATAAATCTTTAAGCTTTTCATTATCCTGTATTTTTTTTGACACTATATGTTTTTTAAAAATTAAGATGTAATTGATATATAACACGGTGTCAGTTTAAGGTGTAAAAATGTTAATTTGATATATTTATATATTGCAACATGATGAAAACACTTTAAAAAAAGAAAACCTCAATGCCCTCAAGGGCTGAGGACCCGTATTTCCAGACTAGAGCAAAGTGCTATAGCAGGGCCAAGAGAGGTCTGGGGCATGGCAGCCAAGCAACAACAGAGCTGGGACTTGAACCCCAGCCAGTCTGATTCCAAGTCCCATCCACCATGCCATGTATGTGGCCAGAGATTCAAAGAGCTGGGTGAATTCTTTCAAGACTGTGCTAAGTGACGTTTCTACTATCCCCCTTGTATGGGGGGGAACCCAGATACCTGGCAGGAACAATTCAGTTTAGAGGCCTGGGTTGGATAGCTTTGTACTTTCCAGCAATTGCCAAAATACTTTCATAGACTAGGTTTCTGCATTAAAAAAAAAAAAAAATGCTGTGAGAGCTTAGCTCAGTGGTTCTCAAAGTGGGGTCCCCCTGGCTGGCACCATCAGCATTACCTGAGAAGCTAGAAATGCTAAGGATCAGGACCGTGCCCTGGATCTAGTACACCAAGAAAGGGAGCGTGGGGCCAGCAATCAGCACTTTGACAAGCCCCACAAGGTGATTCTGATGCACATGCCAATTTGAGAACCACTGGCTTAGCTTCCCCAAAGAGAGAGAAAGGAAGAGACTCAAAACTTATCAGAGGTTGACACAGGTGTGCTGGGTAACCATAGGAACCCCTTTATTACCGTTAAGAAGGAAATAGCCATCAATGCAGAGGGCCCCCCAGAGAATCGGAGGAAATTCATCGTTGTCACTGTGCAAGGGGCACTGTGAAACAATGGCCAAAGGTGACTACCACAGCGAAATTCAAAGGAAACTCATTGAAACATTTGGAAAAGTACACTCAATGTCCTGTCAGAATCCATATTTGGTGGTTTGTTGAAGTATTTATCTTCTTAGTTTTTGAGAGGAAGGGAGGGTTGGGCTCATTCTTAAATCGTGCAGAAGAACACAATATGCTAGAAGAAAAGATTCAATCAAATCGTGCCACGTGGTGAAAGTCAGAGGGTGGGACAACGAGCACACATCCTCGTGGCCAGGGAGCGGCACGGTCTGCTTGATATGGAATTCCATTCCAGAAAACCCCACTGGAAGGAGTCCAGCAGGAGCAGTGTGCTCTGTAACGGTCAACAGCCGAAAGGCCTAAATCAGGGGCCAGCGCGCGTCTGCCACAAAGGGCCAGGCAGTGAGCATTTCAGGCTTCGCGAGCCATCGGGCCCACAACCATTCATGAGGGAGCCGCCATGCGCAGCGACATGCGTGACCAGGGGTGACGGTGCTCTAAGAAGCTTTTATTTAGGGACCTGGAAACCTGAGTTCCAGACAATTGTCGATTTGCCACAAAATACTCTTTTGCTTTCTCTTCGGCCGTTCCAAACTATTGAGACCGTTCTTAGCTTGAGGAGAATATGGACCCACGTGGCCAAGCACAGTTTGCCAGGCCTCCCACTTGGATGCTCGGGCAGAGATGTACAGCCCCTTCACGAGCCATTCTGCAGCCTGCAAAAGTGACCATCGGGGGGACGTGGCTGTGACATGGACAATATTCACAATGCGATGCCGCATGAGAAAACCAGAATCACAAAGAGTACTGACATTCTGCTAAGAGCTGGAGCCACGTGGAAAGGGAGGGTGCAAGTGGACGGTTACTGAAAAGCAGTATATGGCAATGAGGACTATTTCTGTGCTAGGTGATGCTGAGTGTGGATGATTTATTTCTAGCATAAAAATTTTAGGGGCACCTGGTTGGCTTAGTCGGTTAAGTGTCTGACTCTTGGTTTCAAGCCAGGTCACGATCTCAGGGTCATGGGATCGAACCCCACGTCAGGCTCCCTGCTCAGTGGGGAGTCTGCCTGAGGATTCTTTCTCCCTCTTCCTCGGCGCCTCCCTCCCCCTCTGTGTCTCCCCTGACTCACACTCTTTCTCTCTCAAAATAAATAAAATTTTTTTAAAAATTTATTTAACTCTGTCGTCACACTGCCTTTCAAGGAGAGATATAGATTTTTAAATCAGGTTAGAAGAAAAAATCTGGAATTTACTTAATTGGCAGCAGGTTTCATCCCTCTTTCTCCTTGCCATGCTTTCCTTCTCTCCACCGTCATTGTTTGTTTACTGACCCTCCCAAGAGAGGGGTCTTGTTTTGCCCACTGCTCTTTCTTAGGCCCTTGAACAGCATCTGGCCCCAAGCAGGCAATCAACAAGTATCTGTTGAGTAAATGAGTATCTTGGAAAGATATCAGGGCCCATAGCTAGGGGACAACTGATACCTAGGGTGGGGGGGGGTACACATTCCCTGGGTATCTCTGGATGTTCTTCATGGTGAAGGACAGCTGGCACTCTGAACCAAAGCACCTACACTTCTTCAAGAACCCACCCAGGTTGCTGGCTCCCTCCTCAGAAGGCTCCCTGAAACTCACGCTGCCTCAGGCACAGACCAATCTCCACATCAGGGTGGTTTCCCTGGGTGTCCATCACTAGACAAGGAGCTACTTGGGGAGCGGACCATGCCAACCTCAACTTTGTATCCCGTGATACTGAATACCAGCACTGAACGGGCACGTTGAGTAAATGCTGGGTAAATATATCTTTATCCATTTTCACGTACAACATCCAAGACTCTCCCTCGAGAATCTCTCTTGTCCTTGAAGGAATCCTGCCCATTATTCTATCCTAAGGAGAAGTCCCTGCTTCCACTTAATCAGAGTTGAGTCTCCCAATCCCAAGACTGGGAATGCCCGGCACAGACAATGGTTTGGTTTGGAGAAAGGTGAAGGTCCCACCTGTTTCTTCTTTAAGGTCCTGAAAAAATTTCTGGTTGAAGATGAAAGCCACGCCACTAATCTCTTCCACCTTGGCCTCAGCCGTGCTGTTTCTGTTTATGAAGTTGGCGGTGATGGCAATAGCCAACTTCCCACGGAATTCTTTCCTTCTGAACCCTGCATGAAGAAAAAGGGGAAAAGGGAGTCTTTCTTCTGCATTTGGTGTGAAAACTGAGAAAGATTATGGAGGAAGCTGTCCTCAGATGCCTCACAGGCTAGTGAACCCAGAGTTCTGCCTGGAGAATGGAGCAGGTGGACAGGCCAAGTTTTGTACCCCAAGAAGAAACCCATCCCCAGAGGCTTCAGTCAAGGGGAATTTCCCCCTTCCTAAAATCTATAGGACCAATTATTCTGGTGAGGCTTCTACAGTCAAAAGGCTCAAGTGATTTTCCCAGCAGGCTCATCGTGCTAAAGGCTTGCTAGGCACAGTGGCTAGGTATACCCACGATACATGCATTTTGAACTTTTACGATTAAAACTAGGTTGTTAGTGTTTTTCGTGTTTTCCCCCCTTTGAAAAGTAGGATTATGAGACTGAATTCCTGTAGGATGGGGATTTTAACAAATTTTCTATTTCTAGTCTCCAGTGGTTGGTGCTTAGCCCACACTCAGTAAATATCTAATGAGGAGACAGAAGTCTAACTTGTAATTGATTTAATACAGTGATTCTTGGGGTTCCTCTACTTGTTGATGGCTTACATTAACTTTGATTTTTAATGGTGGTGACACAGAGGATCCCAAGCAGGAGTCACACTTCACTGAAACACCTTCTGCCCATCCCCTTTTTCTTTCTAGCATCTGGCTATCTCACAGTCCTGATCTCCCCTCTGCCCCAGACACTACTATTTACTCTGCTTAACTAAAGGCTCTCATCACAAGGGCAGGCTCTCTGGACATGCCTTTGTCTTCAGCCTCCTCCGGGGACTCTCCCTCCATTTGCTCACCGCATACTCAGACCTCATGATGATTCCCAAACTTCTTTGTCAATACTCCCTTTGACTAGAAACCTTGGGGTTTTTTTCTCAATACCTCCTCTTTAAGTCCATCTTCATTAAACTTTTATTGAAATGGTCAAAAATGGCCATTATTGTCTAGTCTAGTATTTCTTAACTGGGAGTGACCTTGGCCCCCAGGGGCATCTTGGCAATGTGTGGAGACATTTCTGGTTGCTACAACTTGGCACGGGGCATGGCGGTTAGGGGAGGCAGTTGTGCTACTGGAGTCTGGCCTGGAGAGGCCAGGGATGCCGCTAAGCTTCCTACTGGGAGCAGGACAAAGAATGATCTGGCCTCATATGTCAGTAGGACCAACAGAGAGAAACTCACACTCTAGTCTACTTATTTGGTGCTAAGCTGCCTAAATGGCTCTCCTTCTTCTTACCCTTCTTTTCCTGTCCATGAAATGCCTAACTATACTCAGGCAAAGTGTGGATTTTGGATTTACAAATATTCAGACTTGCAGTTGTACCCAAACATCAAAATGGCCCCCAAAATTCTAGCAGCACAACATCCAGGTTAACAGCTTAAAAAATCTTTGTCAGATATGGGTTACTGATTGCAGGGGTCTGGCAAGTATAGGGATGGAGGCAAAGAGAGAGGCAAAGGAGTGGGAAAAGGGTCCTGGTGGGCACAGCTGATGGGTAGGACCCAGCTAGGCAACTCACACCTCCCAAAACCTCCGGCATCAGCCTTCTTTCCAGGAGTGTGTTCTGTCCTTGGAGGACGTGCCCTCTCCATCAGAAACCGGCAGTCTGCAGCCCTCGAGTAGGGCAAGCTTGAAGAGCAGATCTAGCCGCCAGCCTGAGAGGCCATGTGGGACCCCTCCGTCCGCCATCTGCGGTCTCTTGTTCATACAGTTAGTGCCAATTAGTACAATCTCAGCGTCAATTACTCTTTGGGGAAGGGGCTAGGGGATTGAAGACATTTCTGGTGGTGGAGCTCTTCTCCCAACCTGACCAGATCTTACTCCAAGAAAACATGTTATGCTTCCAACTCCAGAATTCAGAGAAGCATGGTTCTACGCCCTGACAGTCTGGGGAAAAGCTCATCTTACTGCCCAGCAATGACTGTGCATACAAGTTACAGAAGAGACGGGCCCTTCTTGCTGGGGTATTACACGTGACAGAAGAAGAAGGCCACTGAGAGTCTAAGAATGGTTGTCTTAGCTGGATGAAGTAAGTGTAGGAGTGCTCGGTACCATGGACTCACTGACAGGGGCTCCATAAATGCATGCTGACTCGCAATTGCCATGGCACTTTACCTTTATAAAGCGTTTTTACATATGAGTCCTTTCATAGCCCTCATGACAAGATTCTTTTATCTTCATTTTACAGGTGGGAAGCCTGATGGTTCAGAGGCCATGAACGCCTGCCCTCTCGGTGCTCAGCCTCAGGCCTGGCAGGACAGTCTGCCCTTCTGTCAAGGCCGCCATTCTGCAGCCCCCTCCCAGTCCCGAGGCCCCCATCCTCAGCTCCAGGAAAAAGGAGTCTTCACCTTCCAGTGTGTTCCTGCGGCCGTCGGCACCAATGATGACATCGAACTCAAAGTCCGACAGACAGTGGTCCGCAGGGAGAAATTCCGCCCGCCAGCCGATTTCTACCAAAACAGAAAAATGGTTTGAGTTGGCAAAGCAAGGTGGGAGGGTCCCTGCAGTGTTGGCCAGGGGAAAGGGGATATCTCTAGGTAGAGGAACCCCAGGTAGATCTTCCAGGGAAAGACCCAGAGTTCTCCTGATTCACACTTACATCTGGAGACCTTCTGGCTTCAGTATCCATTCAATCCAGGAGAAGGTAAACCAGCAGCACCAACTCCATGCCTGATTTAACCGGTTTCTATAAAGGCTGGGAGTCTATCAATGGTCCTCAGGCCAGTCCCACTTGAACCCTCTTTGTCTCAGTGCACTCTACCACATTCTCTTCATACTCCCATACAATCCTCCTTGTCCTCTCATTACTGACCAGACCCAAATGATGGATGTGCAGGATGTCCAGAAACCAGTTCGAATTCCCACTTCATTATACTCAAAATGTTCTGTTGGGCAGCACAGAGCCTTTGATGGGAACACTTCCAGGTGAAACCTTGCTGGTCATCCAGAATTGGGTCTGGGAGAGGCTAAGGGCACACGTATCTCTGGAAAGTCCCTAAAAGATGCTGTCCTGCTACAAAGGCCACTGAACACCTCTCCTACACTTTGGAATGTTTTGAATGGAGGACAGGAGAGGTCAGAGCCCTAATGAGCCCATGAGACTCTGAGGTCTCCGACACGAAGCTACCCAAACCACAAGCCCTACCCAGGCAGCAGCGGCTTTTGGTAAGAGATAAACTGCAGAGGCATCATGAACAAACTCTCAGACCGCAGTGTGCATGAGATCAGCACCTATGTGAACATATAGTATAAGAAAAAAGAGCAACATGGCTAAATAAGACATTACCCACCACAGGTGACTTCCGTGGTTGGTAAACTATGCTTCAGAAAGGCTTTAAAATAATTACATACCAAATAATATCATGGGCCCTTATTTCATGTTTGTTAAAGAAGCTGCACTTTTTTTTTTTCTTTACTGGATTTTAAAATATCACGTGGGCACAAGTGCAGCCACACGTCCATGTGTGTTCTCACGTGGCCTGAAGAATTAGGAATGAACTTCAACAAACAACCGAATCTAGATCTTCTATCCTAATTACCTAGTACTTCGTTTGTCAAAGTACCACCTCCCACTGACATGGTAACCAAATGATAGGTTTAGTGGCTTAATAACTGCCCTGGGAGGAGAAGAGCAAACCTAAGGTGGCCACGTTGGGCAGAAAAGGTAAAACGTCCTTTGATGGGATTATGCCCAATAGCTCCCAACAAGAGTAACTCTTATGGGAACATTCTCTGAGAGCTGCAAATGTGATCTCCACTTGCCAATATCTGACTTGTAGACATAAGAGGAAGATTGTACTGTACTTTGATTTTCTTGATCTTCAGGAGGCTCTAGAACCTTCACAAACTCCACGTTCACGTGGATTTCAACTCCCAGCATCAGGGCCACCTTGAATAGGATGAGCTGCAGCTGACGAATGCCTGTTAGGTAGGAAGGGGGAAAGAGAAGAGGTGTCAGCAGCCATGCTTGAGTGCCTCCTGTATTCAGGGTACTCTATAATCGCTCCTCACTGATCTCTGAGCAGAGCAACAGACCAATGATGATCGTGACTGAGAACTAGTTATGCACCGGCCACTCAGCATTTTCACATTTAACCCTTACTGTGGGATAATTATTCCCATCTTATAGATGAGAAACTGAGGCTCAGCGAGGTGAAGTGACTTGCTCAAGGTCATACAGCAGCAAACTAGAACATGGACCCAGATCTGTCTGGTTCCAAGACTGCGCTCTAGCTTTTAGAAAATGCTCTCATGATGGAGGCTCTCCCTTTCCTGCCTCCTCCCTGAGAGGGGCCAGAGGTCTGACGAGGCAAAGATGGAAAGAGGAGTAGACCTGGAGAGTAATGGCCACAAGTAAAGTCAGTGACGAAATGGCTCATTTTGTGGGGGACTGGGCCTAAGCCCTTAGCCATCCAGGGTCAGCATGAAGGGGGATTTCTCTCCACAGAGCTGGACTCATGGTAAGTCACCTCGTACCCATTGCCCCAACTCCCCCGATGAGTGTCACTAACTCATCCCTGGTCATTCCGCACACATGGGTCTGTCTCTGAATATTCTACTGTAGAGTGCGAAACTCTCTGTATTTTGTGGGCTTTGTTCACTTAACATTTATTGAGCATCTACAGTGGGCCAGGTGCCATGGTAGGCATAGAGACACAGAACCCACTCTAGTGGAGGAAACACAAGTGGACAGGTGAGGGCAGGCCACCGTGGTCAGGGGGCGGGGGCGGTGTAGGGGAGTGGCAGAACAGGGCCGGAGTTGCAGTCCAGGAAGCCAATAGAGTACCAAATCCCACAGACAGATTAGGGATTATGACGGCTGCAAGAGGCCAGGGCACTTGGGAGTTAGGAGGCTTCTAGGAATGGAAATCTCAGCGAAAATCTCCTTCACAGGAGGTGGGGAAGAAGTCAGATCTCAATGGAAGGAGTCATGGGTGGGACGCAAAGACAAAGTCGATATCCCCTCTTTCTACAGTAAATGTTTTGAAATAGAAAAAAATTAAGGTAATAAGAGAGGGGAGAGGGACAGTGAGGTAAGGGGCAGGAAACCAAGAGAGAGCAGAGCGGAGCTGAGCAGCCTGCTCAGCCTCAGACATGGCAGGGAGGGCAGGAAGGGGAACTCAGGTGGAGGCCAGTGCAGGTGGACGGAGAGGGGCTGGCGCTGGGAGTGCCCGCCAGTGGCTTCTCTGCCCCAGAGCAGAGGAGGAAGGCCATTTGCTCAGAAGGAGTTTTGGAGCGAGCACATGGGAAGGGGAGGAGGGTGCTGACACAGGACAGTTGGGAACTGCTGAGGCGTGCTGGGGGCTGGGGCGCAGCTGGGGCTGGAGACCAGCATCGGTCTGAAAGGAAGCCAGTCAGCTGGGGCTTAAAGAATCCGATTCCCCTCCTGCCTGGAAACAGGCCTAGGCAGTGGCCTGGCCTCTCCTCTTCATTTCAAGGCTCCTAATCTAGCTTGTTCTAACACACAGTAGGTGTTCAGCAAATTCTCCCTGCCTCCCTTCTCACAGCCAATGGAACCGATCTTAACAATGAGTGCCCCAAATGTCAGAATCTCAGATCCGGAGTCTTGCCAGGGTTTCTGAACATGGGGAATTTTCTGAGAACTAGGGATTAAATGGGAGCCCCATCAATGGGGCAGAGAGGGGCTCCCAACCAGCAGGGAAGGCAGCTCAACAGAGGGGGCGCTCCCAAGGTCCCCTGGTGCCCAGCTCTGCCTCTCAGGAGAGCTCAGTGGGAAAGTGGTGCTCAATGCCGTAGTTCTGAATTGGGCACCAACATACATTCTTCTGTGGGTGGTAGAGAATATTCCCGAAAGCTGACACTGCAGCCTTCTGGGCAAACCCAAATCTCTTTCCAACGGACTCCTGGAATTTTCTCATCCCAGAGTGGGAATACAGTCTGGGGCTACTGCTGATAGGTTCCCATATACCCGTGACTAAACTACACCCTATGTGGCTGACCACTGTCTTCAGTCATTCTTCTGAGCCCCACACCCTTTCCTGTCAGTTCCCGTCCTCATGAGAACATGGCTCTCAGGGCTCTCCTGTCCCCCACGGGTTGAAAGAAGGCAGCTCTGGAACCTGAAGCTGGGGACCCCAGCTGTCTCTTCCTCTTGCTTGCTGTACACCAATGGAGGCAAAGCATTCTCCGAGTCCCTACTACCGGGCAGGCACAGTGGTAAGCACATCACAAACTTGACCTCACCTACCCGATCCTCTCAGTGGTCCTGGGAGGCAGGCATTCATCACATGTGAGGGAGACAAAACTTGGGACTTGCAGAAGGTAAGGAATTTGACCCAAGTCCCACAGCAAATGGGCAAGATAGATTTGGAGCCTGGATCTAAGCCCTTGAACTCTCCCCACAGCGTTAACCTCCCTGACATTTATAGGACACAGTTTTATATATGAAATGGCTAAAGGCCTCCTCCCTGCTCAGCACGAGAGGGAAGTCTGTTCCGCCACAGCCTCTCTGCACAGAACTTGCCTCAAGGGACCCACGCTGGAATAACACAGAGCAGAAGGGCTTGGATGTTCCCCTGAGCGTGCTCGGCTGCAGGGCTGGCCCAGGGCCTGAAACCCGTGTTTCCTACTTCCCCCTCCTTGACTGGGTGAACCCCTGTCATGATGTCCTCCCTCCTTTTAAAATGCAAGGAAACTTAGTCCGGTGCTGTCAACTGTGTCATTCCTCTTCTAAAACCTGCCACGGTTTTCCCCAGAACCAGCAGCACAACATCCACGTAGCGCTCGACACCCTGGCCCGTTTCATGGTTTTGTGTGCCTCCATCATCTGAACCCCCTAGCAAGTCTGATGGGTCTGTTAACGTGCAGTTAATCCCTGACAAGATCTCGGTGAGCTCTCTGTGAGTCAGACCGTGTTACCCACCTCTGACTCTGTTCCCCATATTTCATCCATTCACTCAGCAGAAGTTGACTGAGCATCTACTATATGTCAAGCACCCCTTTATGCCCTGAGACACTCCAGTGAGCGGGGCACACCACAGGCCCCAACTTCATGGTGCCTACAGCTCGGTGGGGCAGACGCAGCTCAGAACTAGCATAAGGCGCAGAGCAGGCCCTTCATGAAATGTCTGCCGGTTGAATGTACGGACCCCCATACGTTCAGCTTATGGACGTGTAAGCTGGAACATCCTGGAGACTCAGTGTGGAGAGATGTGCCCCACCCAGGGTTGGCCCCATGGGCTCTACTCACTGATGTGGTCAATGGAGCCAGCGCAGAACTTCCCATAGAACTTCTTGGCTCCCAGGCCCCGCAGGTCATGGATGGTGAAAGGCCACAGATGCAGCACGTTGTTCCTGGAGAAGGTGTCCCTCTTCTCCACCACAACCACTTTGGCCCCTAGGTAGGCAAGTTCAATGGCAGTGCGCAAACCACATGGTCCTCCCCCAATGATGAGACACTGCAGAGGTAAGAGAGGAAAGAGACGTTCGGTGACCTCTAGCACTGTGGACACAAACCCCTTGCCAACAGCTAACGGGTCCACTCAAATGAACCAGCAAGTAGTAAACAAAGCACCAGTTAGGACCTGCCATTCATCCACCCAACGTACCTCACCTATGGGCCTAACCAGTCCCCGTACCAAACCCTGGGAAAGACACAGAAGTCCAGGGACTTGGTGGGGAGGCACAGAAAGGTACAACTGAGGTTCTGAGTCAGACTAACCTGAGCTTAAAGCTCAGCTCTGGCATTTGACCTCTTAGCTTCCTCATCTGGGAATGGGTACACTACTCTTTCCTCACAGAGTTATCAAAAATAAGACTGCTTTTAAAAAGCTCTGGTGCATCACTGTGACCTCAGATGAGGCAATGGTTTCTTAGATGTGATAACCCTCACGCCAGCAATGCAAGAAGGAAGAGATAAATTGGACTTCATTCCTAAAACCTTTTATGCTTGAAAGGCCCACCATAAGAAAGCAAAGAGACAGCCCACAGATGGGAGGAAATAGTTGCAAATCATAAATGTGATAAGGGACTAGTAGCCAAAATACGTAAAGAATTTACCAACTTAATAATTTAAAAAAAAAAAAAAGACGACCCAATTAAAGAGCAGGCAGATAATCCCCATAGAAATTTTTTCCAAGAAGACAAACAAGTGGCCAATAAGCACTGGGAAAGATGCTCAGAGTCATTAGCCATCAAGGAAATGCAAATCAAAGCCACAATGAGATTCTGCTTCATACCCACTAGGGTGACTATCATCAAAAAGACAGACAAAAATAAGTGTTGGCAAAGATGTGGAGAAACTGGAACCCACACTCGTCACCGGCAGGCATGAGGATTGTACAGATGCTTTGGAACAATTTGGCGGTTCCTCAAAAAGTTAAACAGAGTTGCCAGACAAGCCAGCAACTGTATTCCTGTGCATCAGCCCGAGAGACATGAAAACATACATCCACACAGAGATGGGCACGTGAATGTTCATGGCAGCGTTATTCATTATAGCCAAAGAACAGAAACAACTGAAAAGTTCACTAGTTGATGAAGACACAAAATGTGGTATGTCCATACAAGGGATGATTCAACTCCAAAAATGAACGAATTACTGAGCTAGAGATGAACCTTGAAAACGTCATGCTAAATGAAAGCAACCAAACACAAAGGGACAGAGACGGTATGATTCCATTTACAGAAAATGTCCAGAATAGGCAAATTCATGGAGACCAAAGGGAGATTAGTGGTTGACAGGGCGGGGGGAGGGCAGTGGGGAAGGACTGCTCACTGCTGTGCAGTTTCTTTTTAGGGTGATATTTTAGGATTCAGTCATTGTGGTGGTTTTGTGAATATATTAAAACCATTGATTTACACACATTAAAAGGGAGAATGATATGGTATGTGAATTAGATCTTCATAAAGTACTTACAGGATAAGAAAAAGCTCATATTCCGGAGTTTGGTACACACTAGGGTAGACACTCTCGCTCTTATCACTGAAACCCAGTCCCTGTCTTGTAGGGACTCTCCATCTAGTGGCAAACTCAGGCTTGTGGGGTAAGAAACCAGAACGCTTTGTGGTTGGTTCTACTGGGGGCCCAGAAGAGGAGATGCTGACTCTGCCTGATGAGCTAGAAAAGACTTCGCAAAGAAGGTCTTTAACAATGATCACCGTCACCACCATCCTCACCGTCACCGTCACCAGAGCCTGCATGTGTTGAACATTTACTACGTGCCAGATACTCAGTTCACACGCGTCATGTGTTTTAGCAGTTAGTACCCCCAACACATTGGAGAAGGAGAAACTATTATTATCCTCATTTCACAGATGAGAAAACTGAGGCACGACACACCTAGGTAATGGGCCCTGGTTTCCCAGATCCAGAGCGACAGAAGCAGGAGGCAGACCTGGGTGGTCTCACTCCAGAGCCCATCATGCTGCAACTATTACTTCTGTCCTACTTCCGCCAGGAATAAAGAGAAGGAAGAACACTTCTGCAGAGGGGTCACCCATTCCAAGAGAAAGAAGTTCCAGGTGGATGGAGAGGAGGAGACTTTGGGAGAGGGAGAGGAGGGAGAGGAAAGAGATGAGGGTCAGTCCGCAGCCAGATGCTAAAGGTCCTAAACACCAAGTGAGGGAGTATGACCTTGACCCCGCAGACACTGGGGCCATGCGAGCGGAGGCTGACAGAACCAGATTCTACACAGGTCCCAACTAGGTCTCAGTGGACACTGCAGTGTTGAGCAAGATCAGGGTCTTCCTCAAGGAAGCTACAGCCCTATTAGGAGAGAAGGAACAACATGGAATGACCTAACCTTTTGTCCGGGGCAAAGCCCTTCTACTTAAACAAAGTCACCAGTACTGTGTAAGGACAGAGGGAAACAGCTGTATTCCAGCTGAGAGAGTCAGAGGTCCCCATGGGTGTGGTAGGGCCATACCCATCCAACCCCCGGGGAAGCCCCTGAAGCACCTTCAAGAGGCAGAATCCCCCTGGGGTGGGAGCCCTGAGGCCACTCCAGCAAGGCCACAGGGAAGGAGACCTATGCGGACACCTCACTGCTCAACATTACAGAGGCATCTGGGAACTTCCCCTCTGCTCAGGATCAAACATTATCTTTTAAAAATGCATTTCCCTTCCACTAGCAAATATTCCATCATCCAGTTATCACTCCCCTGGGGTCTCTGGGGTCTCCAAGGGAAAGTACAAACAAGCCTATCAGAAACTCCCACACCACAATCAGTGTGGCTTGCTGGATGGAACCTTCCAGGGGGTTTGTGGAAACCCCGTTAGGGGAAATGAAGTCACTGCTGAGATACAGCTCACTCAGAGATGTCGCGGAGCGGGTATGCAAATCTTTTTGCTTCCTTTCTGGTTGGAGCAGACAAGAGAGAACCACTCCTTATCTCACACCCGAAACAGCTCCTCTGGCTTGACATAGCCAGACCATGACGGGCACTGTAAAGGAAGATTCCAAGCCCTGACACTCTGAGGTTGCCGTTGGGGTTAAGCCTGGATTCACTGCATTTCTTAGCAGTTAGTGCATCTTTTCCTGTTTGCTGAGTCCTGTCACTCCGGGGCCAGGGATGCTGCAGGGGTGGGAGGATGTGGGGGGAAGAAGGGCAGGAAGAGAATGAGAGGGAGCCATCTTGCCGTCCTGCGTCCTTCTGTCCACCAGGCCTGACCCCACACTGCTCCCGGAGCAAGGCAGGAGCTCCCTTTCCCACCCGTCGGGGGGCTACTGGGCAGATTTCATGCCAACAGCAGCCAGCGTACTGTTGCCCACCCTCCCAACTGAACCTGAAACCCCACGGGCGAAAGCTTCGTTTTCCCACCACTCTGGGCCCCAGCACATACTTCGGGCCTGAAATTTCAGAGACACCAGTCACACTGTAATCTCAAGACAAAGCAAATACCTAATTATACAAAGGGAGAAAATTCAGTGCAGATGTTATCAAAACAGGCGAGAAGGCTTGCTGGCAGGGGCCCCGCAGCTCCTCTCAGAGGACACTTGTTATGATTAACATGGGAACTCAGAATTCTGAGCAGGGACGGAAAACTGCAGCCACCAAGGGGCCTGGTCAGAGAATAGGAGAGAAGGCAGCTGCCCCCAGTGTGCCCACAGGTGATGCTCTGGATGGTAGACTTGGGGCAAACAGACCACAGATGCAAAGGGTTGTGATAACTCAAGCTGAAAAAACTCCCCACATTTCCCACCCCCGTCTGGGCTCTCACTGCTGAGGATTTGTTGCCAAGGAGAGAAGACTTTTCATTAAAACTCAGCCTCGAGGCCTTTCTTGAGTCCCAAATTACACTGTACATTCCGTCCACAGGTTCTGTCCTTAATGCTACCCCAGAACTCAGCTCTGCGTGTTATAATTACCCACATCTGTCTCCCAGGCCAGCGGGAATACTCCTCCAAAGCTGTCCCCACGTCCTCCTCAGGGCCCAGTACCCGGCCTGGCACACAGGAGGCTTCAATAAACAGCTGATGAAAGAATGAACTTCTCACACCCGCCCCGCCCACCCAGTTCTGGCTGTCCGTCAGTCACTGGGATGTTCAGCTCATGTCATCCCGGGTTTGCGTCTGCATTTCCCACCCAGGCAGGGGGAGCTGGGGTCTGCCAAGGCCACCAGCATCATGGACTTCAGCAGATCAGTGTGCTCAGGCGACATAAATTTATGACCCGGAGGGGAGTGGGGCAGATCCAACACCAGCAGGAAGTCCATTGCATAGATAAGCTTCGTGGTGCTCAGGCCTCTGCGTTTGTGCAGAGACAAACACCACATGGAAAAAACAGCTCTTATTTATCAAGGGGTGGGAAGAGGGGACGAGGGGACTAGCCCACAGTCAAAGGCACACGCGGGTGCATCACGTCCGTGGCTGGGGCAGCCTCGGTCACGCAGGGCTCTCACGCCATCCTGGAGGAGCCCCACAAGCACTCCCCACTGCTTGATGACATGCAGCTTCCAATCCACAAGTGGGTGGGTGTCCTGGGGCTGTGCCAAGAGTGCGAAATGTATTCAGTCCCCAGAGGGAAGCCCCAAGGGGACCAGGGGCTAAGCCAGGGGTTAGCCGCTCTGGAGACTGCATTTCCGATCCTCAGCTCTGCCTCCAATTTCCTGGGGAGCTGTGTGTGCAGACGTACCCGGGCTCAGAGAGCCAGCACCCGCAGGCAGACCGGGGCCAGCCGTCCGGGAGCGGGCCGACCTCGCTGAAGAGGAGGATTACAGTTTGTAAAAGGTATCATGCCCAGGGGCGCCTGGGTGGCTCAGTGGGTTAAGCCTCTGCCTTCAGCTCAGGTCATGATCTCAGGGTCCTGGGATTGAGCCCTGCATCGGGCTCTCTGCTCAGCAGGGAGCCTGCTTCCCCCAATCTCTCTGCCTGCCTCTCTGCTTGCTTGTGATCTCTGTCTGTCAAATAAATACATAAAATCTTAAAAAAAAAATAAAAAGGTATCAAGCCCAGAA